TGATTCTATGATTCTATGATTTTACTCATTTTATTACGCAAGTATTTACCAGTACACCTTTATAAAAAAGCATGAAAACAGTCAGCAAATTACCCTGTAGACATTGTAAACGTCTATATCGTTGTTTGCTTAACATTGCCCTCCTGTACCTCTGGAAGGTCAATCCTTTCATTTCCTTAGCTTCTCACATCCATCCACCAGCTCTCCTCAGTGCCTTGCTGTGGTTAAGAAATTCAGCAGATTCTGAAGATCACTCAAGTGAGACTTCAAAGGTTTTACTGGCCATATTTTCCAACATCTCGCTGTATCACGCTTGGGAAATTTCCAGACGGGCACTACAGGATTATCCTAATAGCAGATATCAGGAAGGATGGAGGACCTTTTGTATGTTAAAAGGAGTATCTGCCTGCCCCTAGGATCTGATGGTAGGAGGATAGGCCAGTAGGAAGGACTTGGGGAGCAGGAGGAAAGGTGCTTAATAGAGCTAGACTCCCTTATAGTATTTCCTGAAATACATGACACTCCTCTTTCCCCTTCTTTTTCGCTCGTCTGTCTCCTTCAATGCCCTCAGGCCCTGAATAGCAAACGTGTATTTCTGAAGCAAACCACCCGCCTTTCCCTGCCAAGGGAATAACACCCAATTTCTGAAACAGTACTGCAGGGCCAAAGGAGAGAGAGAGGCTCCTCTGCAGACAGATTCAGAGCGGCCGCTTTGGGCTCCTGACTCACCCCCCTTGTAGCCCCAGCAAAATCAACACTGCTGTGTGTTAGGATGTGTCCATATAAATCAGATCACTCCTGTTCTAGTCTGTGCTTTTCCAACTAATAGCCTGTTGGCTAAGCTACTGTGAGATGTTATCAGGAGGGTGAAATACAGCACATGGTACAGAAGAGCCCAAGACTGACCCAAGGAGGCTGTGATAATGTTCCAAGTGCACTAACAGGACAGCGGGATGTAGCAAGTAAATGTGTTACTTCTTTCAGGCACCGATAAATGGATGTCGTTGTGAGCCCCTGATAAATAAACTGGAGAATCAGCTGGAGGCAACAGTGGAAGAGATAAAAGCTGAGTTTGGGACAGTACAAGATAAGATGAATGTTAAGCTGGGCCAGATGGAAAGCAAAACTCAACATCAAGTAAGAATATGACCTGGAGGTCTGCTTGCTCACATGACTATTAGAAACATATCTAAGCTTAATGAATATTTTCATTGTCATCATTCGTTCATTGCTTCTTGTGTTGTAAAAACGAACCTGAAAGCTAATACTCAAGACCAGGGAACTCTGACATTCCACAGAGATCTAATGTTGCAAACTAGGGTCTTGAGAAAAACAGATTTAATGTGTTAAGTGGCTTCCAGTGCTTTTTTAGACAATAAATCTAAACTGCTTGAGGCCCTAAGAGGGAAACTTAAAGACAGAAGGCAGTCCTACAGCTGGTCGGTTCATAATTGTAAAAATCCCTCTTGCTGAATTCTGTTTGCACTGAGATTCAAGATCCTCTAAATTGTTTTTTATTTTTAATGTAATGGTTATTCATCGATAATTTTGTGATGGAACCTTTTTGCAAGCTACATCTAATTGTAGTCGGCAGCATTCCTAGAAATGAAGACTGAAAGACAGACTGTACTTTGACTTACAAGGTTCACAGATGGGGGGTTGGTTTGGTTTTTAACATGATCATCTCAGCTAAATTGTGTTGTTTTCCACAGCTCCGTGTTTTAGACAAGCTTATGGCTGAGCGGCTGTCTGCGGAGAGAACAGAGTGCCTTCACCGCCTGCAACAGCACACTGAGCTGGAAAAAAATGAGGGGGAGAAACGGCAGGTAGGGCTTGAAACAGCTACTCCCCATTAGCACAGATGGATCAGCTCAAGAGTTTCATTCCAGCAGGCAGAGAGAATAGAGGAGATTTATCTCATCTGTTGAAACAGGCAAAGGAACTTCAAAGAACAAATTATTCCTATCCACCATCAATCTCTAAACCAAACTTACAAAGCTTTTGCATTAGAAGCGGGGAACGTGAAATCTAGTCCCACTGTCATAATTTAATTTGGTGGGTCTGCAGTGTGGGATCTATAACAAAATATCTTCTTTCTAACATAGTGCTTTGCAAAAATTCCTACCGCTAAATTTTTAACAGTTGTGCTTTCAGATTTTGCTTAGTTGAAGGATGTCTGCAGGAACATCCGCAAATAGGAACAAAGGCTTAAGATCAATGTTGCTCCTTTTATTTCTCATCCATTTGGTTGTGCACCCAAGGAATCTCTCCCCTCTCCTCTATCTGATCTTTCCCCCCCGCCATGTATTAAAAGGCTGCAGTTTCTCCCTGGGACATTGGCAACAGTGCACCATCTCCAAGCTGTGTATTACTGCCAATAGGCAAGTTATTTTTGTATGCTTGTTTAACCAGCATTACAAGAATAACTGTTCCCCTGGAGATCCAGCTCTTGTCCCTCTAGCTTCTGCACAAACTCACCATTAAAACACGCTAAGAAATTTATGTTTCTCTACTCACATAGGTAAACTTAAAATACAATTAATTTTCTCATTATTGGTATTCTTCTAAGAATTGAGAAATACACTTTGTGCTAGTAAGTGGTCATGACTTTTGTAAGACAGTTCCAAATCTGTGATAAAAGGCTGGCAGCTGTGATAATCCCAGCATAAACTACTGATCAAGATACTTTGGTCTAACATCTGCAAAACTTATCAAACTAAGGCAGCTTTAGTTTTTATTTCATAGTAAGAGACATAAGTATTATATTGGCTTCTGAATGTCTGGGCTTGTGCTCCATCTCCTTGTAATCTCCATTTAAGAAATGAGATACTGGAGTGCCACATCAGGTGAATTGAAATTACCATTAAGCAGTATCAGCTGTTCCTGTTCTGTTGGGTCTAATTGAAGCTATTGGAGAAACTGAGTTGGGCTTTACTAAATGCATGGACTAAATGTCCACGTGCATAGGAGGGCCTGACCTAAATTCATGTCGTCATATGAACAAGAGGGTAAAAGAGCTACTCATATTTTAAATGATTACTGGCAAATGCCTCTGCAGCTGACACTTATTATGCACCTTTGTAATTTGAAAGCTGTTAGTAATTTATCATTTAGTGTTGGACTCATCTTTATCACCGAATGAACAGAGGAGCAGAGGTTGGTAATAGTATAAAGCTGTGTTGTGGTTTAACCTGGCAGGCAGCCAACCACCACACAGCTGCTCGCTCACTGCCCCCATCCCAGTGGGATGAGGGAGAGAATCGAAAAAAAAGTAAAATTTGTGCATTAAGACAGTTTAATAGAACAGAAAGGGCGGGGGGGACAAACCACAAAATAGGTGATTCACAATGCAATTGCTCACCACCCATCAACCGATGCCCAGCCAGTCCCCAGGTAGCAGTCACCGCTACGCAGCCAACCCCCCAGCTTATATATTGAGCATGACATCTTATGGTATGGAATACCCCGTTGGCCAGTTGGGTCAGCTGTCCTGGCTATGCTCCGTCCCAGCTTCTTGTGCACCTGGCAGAGCATGGGAAGCTGAAAAGTCCTTGACTATGTAAACACTACTTAGCAACAACTAAAACATCAGTGTTTTATCAACATTATTCTTGTACTAAATCCAAACCACAGCACTACACCAGCTACTAGGGAGAAAATTAACTCTACCCCTGCTGAAACCAGGACAAGCTGTGTCCCAGAAGTGTCTTAATTTGAATTTCACTCTTAAAAATGGCAGCTTTTACCACATGTGATATTCCTTGCACTCAGCAAGTACCATTGACTGTATGATTAAACAAGTCAGCCTTGATCAGAAGACTTAGAGATGCATTTGAAATAGCACATGCAAATCTAAGAGGGCTAGCTTGGACTAAAGAGGGTGCCTTTCATTAGCTAATGCATAGTTTTTCATCTTTTCTGATTTGCAGCCCTTTAAATATTCCCAGTGGCAGCATGCATATCTGTTCAGGGAGTCTAAGCCCACAGATACCAGGCTGCCTTCTCTTCGTCCCTGCCACACATCCTCAGCAGCCCAGGAACCACAGGATCTAATCACAGGATCGTCTAATTTAAAGTCTCTTTCTCATAGATTTCCTTGGTCGATGAGCTGAAGACTTGGTGCATGTTGAAGATTCAGAATCTGGAGCTCAAGCTTTCTGGAGATTCCAGGTCATCAAGACCAAAATCAACTTTGTCCACTTGTGAGTCTCTCACCGAGACCCTGGATACTGAGAACAACCCCCACAGTGCCAAGGACTGTAAAGCCAACCAGCCCATGCTGCAGTCAGAGGACTCCCACCAGCATTCCTATATCACACTCCCAAATAGCCTCTCGGAAGATGGGGGAAGGAGCAGAGTCCAGATGCCAGAACAGAGCTTTGGGCAACATTTTTGCATTCAACAAGATGGCGCGTCAGGTACAACCCTGTCAGGTACTTAGATGTCATATTCATTCAAAGGCGAGCTAGTTAACTGAGGGATACTTGAATTAATACTACAGATACTAATTCTGGCTCTGTGCTTTCCCCCATCCATATGCATAATGTCTTGGGATTAGAATACACTTCAAGGCAGCCGCTGGGAATATTGTAAGACATGGTTGGGTGGAATTCCAGTGGCTCTTGCTGATGCTTCCATGTCACTGTGTCTTTGAAGCCAAGTCCTTTGATGTTCTGAATAACTCTTTTCTGAAATTTCTCCAGCTTCCCAGTCAGAATTGCTCCCACCCCATTTTCTGTCAGGAAGGGGTGCAGATTATCCAACATCTACTGAAGAAAGTGTATTGTATTTAGTGCTTTCCAGATGTATGGAACCTATAATGGCAGAGTGCAAGGATGTGAACCTAAAATACTCATTTCCCTTGTTAATATTCAAACTGCAAGTATATAGAATAAACCTCTCCCTTTTTCCTCTTTCCTTGAACCAAAGTCTGTTTAATTATTAGTTCATTTGACAAGAACAAAGTCAGCTGAGAACATTCAAGCCCATTCAGGGATCAATGGCCACCCGAAGATATGGAAGACCTTGGTTCAAGCCACCTCTCTGTGCTTGGCCAGGGAAGCTTTTGAGGAAAAAAGAAATGGGCAGAATGCCCAGGTCTCCACAGCCAAGGAGAACGCTGTCAAGGCCCTGGGCTTCTGTAAAATACATTGTATATGCCCCCCAAAACACTATGCAAAGTGAACAGACATGGACATGGATACCCCATCAGACTAGAAAGGCAGAAGACCACACAAGAGATCTTGTGGCAGCATGAGTGTGAGCTATACTGCATTGAACAGTTCAGAAGCATCAAAATGTGTTACCTTTGCAAAATTAGTGGGGCTTCAATTTTTGTAGAAGCAGGGGGTTCATTAAGTATCAGCAGTCATAAACTACTTTGGGAATCTAGCCTGATCTTTGTTAGACGTCCTTCTGGAGAAGTCCTTTAATTGTTGTCAGTCTATAGTCCCACAGCCGCAATGCAGTGCCTCTCTGCCTGAGCCAGTTTTTCTCTTTTAATGACTCTCTATTATATCACCTGACTGTGAAAATGCGATAAACTAATACAAGCCTCTACAATGTACACACAGCAGGGTACATGGGAAACAGCATCATTCATTGAACAATGAGGATTTCTGAATGCTAAAATAAATGCCCAGAGCTTTTCTAAATACATATGTTATATTTTATTCTGTAGGTACAGAGCAACAGTTAATCGTTGGCAGACCAGTTTCTTCTGCCCCTGCTCAAGATGTCAGGCCAAAGGACAAAGCTGTCAGTGCCAGCACATTCCACAGGTTCCAGCAGGAGCTGCCCTCCTCCGAGCTTTTGGGGTCCAAATTAAGACACGTTAAGGTTCAAGCTGCTTTGCAGCCCTTGACTGAACCTGCAAAGACTGAACCACAGAGCGGCTACTTCATTGACAAAGGAACTCAGACAAAGAAGTCCAGCAAAAGCGGGCAGTCAAGGCACAAAGCTCTGCACCACGCCGGGGCACATCAGAGCCAGGAGCAGCAGCCCTCCGTCCTGCCTGCGGGACAGCCATCTGCCCCTGCGCTCAGAGACACCTCCCAGGCCCTGGAGATAACACAGTACTTCTTCGAGGCTGTTTCCACACAGATGGAGAAGTGGTATGAACGGAAGATAGAAGAAGCCCGATGCCAAGCGAATCAGAAAGCGCAGCAAGACAAAGCTGCGCTCAAGGAACATATTAAAAGCTTAGAAGAGGAGCTCAGCAAATTAAGGACTAAGGTGCAGAAAGAGAGCTAGCATCTACCAAGCAGGTAAAGACAAGCAATGGGACTCATTTTGGAACCTGCTGTACAGGAATCTGGAATATTGTTAGATATATACATTTGTAGTGCCTGTTACATCCAAACAAAATGCTCTTTTTCAGGAGTAGAAATAACTTTTGGAACTCTAGAACCAAGGAGAATTCATATGCAGACCGTACTGATGACAACCAGATGCTGCAGATTAGATCCTTTCTTTCTTTCCAAGAGTCCGTTAAATATTGCACTCTCAATTTCCAGGTGCTGCTTGAAAACAAACTGCATTAGAAACCAAAACTGCATTCTGAAAAGGGAATTTCCTTATTTCCACATAGGTCATGTGTGGCTAGAGGGTTCCACTGTATGCTACATGTAAACACGTGGCAATACCAATACTGAAATAAATCCAGGATGTCTGAGAGCTTTTGACAGAAATTCCTTAGTGATGAAGGGCTATTGATACTATTTTAGATACTCCCCACAGCCTCCCTCTAGTCAGTGGAGAGAAGCTACAGAACCAACTCAAATTACAAGCCCACGTAGGTGACAGACGCAGGCTTCCAGCTGGGAGAGGCCAGGCTCCCACTGAGTGAGATGCTAAGGTGAGTCACTCCATTAGGTACAGAGGCTGCGGTTGCCGCTTTGCTTTTCTTTTGGTTTTACATTATTAAAACAAATGCTAAATTAGAAATTAGATTTGTCTTTTTTTAATGGTGTCCTGGTTGCAAAGCTCCTTGTGGTTATACAGTTGTTGGGGCCATACTCGAGTAATCTGACTGAGAAGTTTTGTTTAGGGCATGGATGGCAAATATTTTACCACAACCATGCTCTACTTGGTAGGTATAATTTTTATATAAATCTCTGTTCCTTCAAGCAGCAAATGGTTGAATTCTCTACTACTGAAGCAGCTTGAAAGTCCTTTCGATAAAGAAGTGAAAGCTTGGTTCCCTGTACTCAGATGTTTCTTTTTCTGCAGAATCAGGGTTTTCTCCCGGACACCTTGTCCAGACTGTCCTCCTTTGTTCCTCTGAATGATTCCCCTCTGTTTTTTCTCTTAACCCTAAAAAGAGAGGCCGGGCCCTGGTGAGTCTGCAGGTCTTAGGACTGGTTTCACAAACAGTCCCACAAAATAGAACTGAACAACATTTTAAAGTTTTTATGGATGTCTTTTGTTATAAAATGAAAACTTACAATCACCAAAGTCGTCCAGGCTGACAGACTCCAAATAAGGCACCGTAACTTGTTGCATCTGCATCCTTTCAGGGCTTCCTCCTTAACCCCTGAAAAGGCTCCATCAGATTCTGTTAGAAAATTAAGTTAACTTAACAGATCATGATAGAACAATTGTTCAAAAAGAATTTAAACACAGGATAGTACTGTGTTATGCCAAGGAGAAAGAGATTTTTTTTCTGTACTGAGGAGCCCTAAAATCAATACAAAATACTTTACAGTACTGAAGACACCATTGCCTAATTAGTAATTAAGCTTTTGTCTTCTTAGCAGATGTATAAAGCAAAGAAAATTGTATTATATAACAATATTTTTAAAGTTCCTATTAATGCACTATCAAGACAAGAAAAGTGTATCTGCTGTTATGGAAATACTAGGTTTTTTGCTCTGACTTCTGTAGTCTAATATAGACACTTCCATATGTTTACAGTTTTGTTTAAGCTACTGTAGGAATGCAGAAGCATGCTATTTAAGTTTTGTGTCATCTTGATAAAGTGAATGTTTTGCCAAGCAATTAAAATAAGTGTTGCTCAGAAGTCTGCATTGCTCAGAAGTCTGTGGTATAACGTTTTCTAGCCAGAGAAAATTGACAAAATCCCCTCACTTGATTCAGAAGGGGAAGCAGAAAATTGGACTTTCTAAGCTTTTGTCTTTGTGGCCATAAAACGTCTGTCCCGAGGGAGGCTGCAGGGACTGACTGCCATTTGTTAGCTGATGCACGCACCCGCCATGTCGGAAGTTAACTGGCACGGGGCCGAGTTGTGCAGCTGATCACACACACGCTCCTGAGCTTGTGCAAGTGCAAGGGAAACGGAAAGGCTACGGCTTCAGCTAATCTGCTTCACATACGAACCACACTACCACAGTGACCATTGCAGCAGTGATTTACAGTAACTAAAAGGGAGCAGTAATTTAAGACAGTAACTGGGCTGCAGAGTACTGATTTTAGAGGTTTCCTGAAGCCAACAAGTGTACTGTAAAATAAAGGGAGGAGTTTTCTGCTAATTCCTTTCTATTCTCCTTTGTAGTCCTCCCTTCTTTGAAACTGCTAGAGTTGAAGGACTTCTTTACAAAATAAGCAGCACACACTTGGAGTAAATTTACTTATCCTGGCAGATTGTACTTGGACTCCTGAAGGCTTCTTGGCAGGCAATTTTACCTTGACAAGCCCACAAAGCAGTGGAGATGACAGGCAGCAGCACTCGGGAGGTCAGCGGCTGTCCAGGGCTGCCTGTCAAGACCTATTCCGGGATTATGTGGCCACAACCTAGAGATGTACAAACTGGAGTCAAAGGAGTAATGCAGACTCAGGGGTCCGAATGGAAAGCGCTGCGATGAGGCCGCAGGGGAAGGTCTCCAAATTCAGGAGCAGAAATCAAACCATTGGCTGAAGGAAAAGGGAAGGCTACATGTAAGAACAAGCCGACATTGATTACAGCTTTGTTTAGTCAAAATTCCTTTCTAAACAGCATTTTCGGGTCACGTGAAAAATCAATCCCCAACACACTAATGTTCTGTCAGTGTATTCTACCACAAACTGCTAACGAAATTTAGATTTTTAACAGTATTTAAACATACGTATTTTTCACTGACTGATTAGAAGCTCAAAGGCTTCTGTTTATACAAACCTGAACTCTTCAGCAGCCTCACTGGTTGCCTGAGCCACATCCTTTACTGCAAAGCTAAATAAACATCACAGGAAAGGATTCTACGATGACTTTCAGAAAAAGGAAAAAAAAAAAACCAACCGGCATTCTTTGTTAAGCAGCAGCTTTTTGCAAAGGAGCTTGGAAGTGTGTAGCTTTGAAGACCCTTTGTTTGGCTCCAGCAAGAAGCATACGTCCTGCTCCCGAGCGGGGTCCTTCTTCCCTCCTGTAGCCTGGAGGGGGAATACTGTCCTGTCCCTTCCCGTGGGCCAGCGGTGGCACTGACCGGGCTCGCTGTGAGGCAGTCCAGCTCCCTCACTCTGCAGAGAGCCTGCCTGGCAAGGGGAGGTGGCTCCCCACCTGAACTGTCATGGCAGAGTGGGAGCGGGAAGGGTTCCTGCATCTCCTGAAACCACAACCTAAATTGCACACGGCTGCTGGATAGTCAGGTATCCATCTACTCTGGTCTGGCTGGTTATGTTGAGAAAATCCCAGACTCACCTTGGCATTTTTAAATTATATGGGAAAAAAAAGATATACTGCAATTCACAGGAAGGTAAGAACAGTTACAAGCTAACAACTAAAAGTAGAGTAATAAGACATTTGGAAAAACAGACCACAATATTTGCAGTTAGTACCTTCTATTTGTAATTCTACTTTATACTGACTTTTAAATACTAACTTGAAGGTACTTGCTGTTAACCTGGTAATAACTGTTTCTGGGGCTAAAATCGCTCATTTTCATGTATAAAAAGATCTCCCCTTTTAAGTTTTATTCAGCTATAACTGAAAATCAACATCTACATACAAAATATTTTCTTAATGTTTTATCATGTTTATTCATTTTGGGCCAATTTATTTATCTCAAATGCTTTTTTAGTCCCAAATTTTGGTGAAAATCCTTGGCACAGTACAGAAAGAGCTGTTACCACTATGAACGTTACCGCTTAGAGTTGCCACAACAGAAAACAGACAAAATAATCTGGCTTATATTTATTTTCTACTTCCTGGCATAACACTGCTGTTGTAATTTTTGGTGCTTTCTGCTTTTCTCACAGCACACATGACATCATCCATTCGGTTCTTTAAAGTCCTTTGTGTCTGAGTGATTTTCACACGGGAGGGTAACCAAACCGGGAAGAGGAAGGGGAAAAAACCAAACAAAAAACCCACTGTGGTAGATTCCACCTTCAAACATTACCAGGTTGTCAGCAAAGGCTGCTATTATAACCACATTCTGGAAAAAATACGATGCTTGTTTGCAGCAAATGAAAGTCCGCTGTCAAAATTAAGATCAGGATTTTGCCAACTTAAGTGTTCTTTGAAGTTCCTGAAGTTGCATGTTGCCTTGAGTAATCATCATCCTGATTGCATCCTGTAAAACAAAATGGAATCTACTGAACTGAATGTCTGTACACAGCGTAGGTTTTACACAAGCACCCAGATTTTAACACATTAAAATACAGACAATTCTTACCAGCACTACTGTGATCTATTTCTTTGTGTGAACTAACGCTATAGTCACTGAGATGGTTAAAAACCAGGTGAATAAATGAATTAATTTTCTCCAAGTCCTTAATGTTTTTGGGGGCTGGTTATAGCTTTGCTTGAAAACTCAGTTCTGAACTGGATTCAAACTCCTAATAATGTTTTCTCTACACCTCTGTGTCTACCGCCTTTGCAAGCAAGTAGTGAGAACTGCACGTGGGCATTATGAAGACAGGTGTTTTAAGGAGCAAGTGGATGTTTCTCTCAACGTTAATTTTTATCTAAGTACTGTAACGCTTCGTCTGCATAATTCAGCCACCAATTCCTTGAGCACTGGCTAGAAAAAGGAACAAACTAGAAAGCAGAAGATGGGAGATATACAAGAAATTTAAAGGTTTCTGCATTTCATACACGCTTCATATCCACAACCATCCAATTTGATTGTGTTCAGCTTGAATAGAATTGAAATTAAAGATGAAAAAAAGAAGCTACAGAAAGCTTGACCATTAATGGGTTTATGTTAGTTATCGTATTATTCAATACAATTTTTCTGATTTGTGGTTTGAGTAAGCAGGATTTGTTTGTTTTTTAGCTTTTTAATTCCAGATTATTATCTGAAAATCAGAAAAACATT